CTGAAAAGTTTTGCCATTTTTTAAATTGTCAGCATCTGGATGTTTCTGGAATTACCACTGGTGGAAAAAGAAGTTTTTTCCATGACTGCACAGAAAAAGTGATTTTGACAGAGGACTGGACTGAATTGTTTAGGTATTGTACATCCGTGGCCTTCCAGAAATTCCATTAAAATGCCTGTACATAGAGATGAACTGAGCATCAAACCAACTTCGATGGAATAATAAGGAGTGGGGTTAGAAATTCAGTATTAGAATTAGAAAGTCAGTCAGACAGTGGAATCTGTGGATGGCAGGAGGGGAAGCCACTCAAGGGGGGCTGTGTAAACCCAGTTCTTGCTGTATATAACTCAAAATAAGATTTTGCAACTTAATGTAACTCCTGAATTCTTACCTCGTACATTTTCAGCCTTTCCTCCATAAAAGAGGCAGAAACTTCTGGTAGAGCTGTTTGCTTTGAAATGAGTTATTCAGTACTGCATCCATGTAATCCAAAGCTTTTCCATCAACACTAGACTGAAAGTTTCCTGTTCTTTGGTTTTCTGTGGTCTACCTTCTTAGGCACCATAATCTCTGGACTGCCAGGTCACACACAACTTGTAAATTCTGGCTTTTGTTTGATTATAGTGGGAGCTCCTAAACTCCTTAATTTGGTTACTAATTCCATTGGGAAAGACTGAAAATGTAGTTTAAAAGCCAAATGTTATCTACTAAAAAGCCTCTTTCACTAATATGTAAAAAATGTCCAGTTCCATCTAAACCCTGCTTTTTTTGTCTAAGGATATAACATCCTGGTGACATCAGAGACACTCTTACTATATTATTTTTGGCCCATTCACAATGGCTTTAACTCTCAGTCTTGTCTCAGCCAAAATTGTGTCAAAAGGGGTCAAAAAGGAGAATGTAGTAGCCGCACTAAGAAGGTAATTTTTGCTTAATATGTTGGGTGTGCTCCCTTAAACCCTGAGGCTTAGTATCTGAGGAACATTTGATTGGCTTGGATCAAGTACAAGTGCTTCTATACTGGAAACTAATCCTGGTAGATTTTACAGGATGTTTCAAGTTACTAAAACACAAACTCCTGGATGAGGGCAAGTTAGAGGGAAGGAGGACCCTGCTGGGCTTGCCTCTGGAAGAAACAACAGACATGGAGCCACTCGTTTGCTTTTAAGGGGGATGAGTGAGAGGGCGTTGGGACACTGACTAAGGCTGACAGCCCCTTGATGGCTGGGGAGATGGGAGTTACACACCATTTCCATTATGTTAATGGCAACTTAAAAACACAAATGTCAATCTCGGTAACTCTCTCTGCTCCACAGAACAGCTACAAACAAACAACAGCCAGCAGAATCATGTGAAATGCTGGCAGTGGCAATGAAAAAGTTCCTCTGCCTCCTGCTGAGATTTCCTTGGGACAGGGAGGGATTGCTGCAAGGCAGATGTTCAAAACAGCATGACAGACAAGGGAGAAAGAATCTTTGGGTTTGTGAGAGAGGAAGGACGACTATGTTTGTACAAGTGATCAAAAATCACTAGAGATGCAGTGAGAAGCACACGTACACTAGGAGCCCTCTAGGCTGTATTTTCTCAATATGGTTCTTTTTTTGGGGGGAAAAAATCCCCAGAGCTGCTTCTCAAGAGTCCGTGCTGTTTGCTGGAAAACAGTGGGTGGCAAAGATCTCCTTTCTGGTTTTAAATAGGGTCAGCAATCTACTGAATAAGCCACTTCAGCCTCGTTTCATATCTACCTTTACATCTTTGAAAGTTTGTGTGTCGACTAAATTTTATCCTTGGTCCTGACCTCTTTTGCTATAGTATTATCCCTATGTGTATATACAGCAATTATTTAACATAACATTAGGACTCCTAACCATCAGAACTTGGTAGATTTTAAATTATCCTAGGAAAGGATGAAAAATATATTTCATTTCACTCAGTACCTACTATTTGCTTATTCATCATCCTGGACTGCATTTAGATAAAATTTGAAATTAAACTATAATGCACAAGAAGACCAGCAAAATGTTTTACAAGTTGTATCTCTTAATGTTCCTGTTTATATAGGGAGAAAAAATATTTGAAGATATTTTGCATGTAAATTTAACCTGTTAAACACAGAAATAGAGAAAAACTTGTGTGAAACATTCACATTAGAGGTTTGGAAAAAACCTGAACAATCCTCCCAGCCCCTAAAAACTCTGATATGGTTTCTACTTCTTGCCTGGAAGCAGTAATGTCTGAGACCTTGACTGAATCAAGTCAAGCTGGTTGCAAATTTTGCTCAAATCTCAGTTGGAAAATCAGGTCACAGTGAAATAAACAACATAAACAATGTATTGAGGAATAAATGCCAAGAAAACTGGAAAAGTAGGCTAAATTTCTGTGTTTGGCTTAGGTCAGGAGGAAAGAAAGAAAGAAATGGTGTGTGTGTGTGTGGGGGGGGGGAGGGCAGGGGAGACAGTGTTATTTTCAAATGAAATGGACAGAAGTCACCAAGTGTGAAATAAGTCAATGATGTCCTTCCTCTGCTGTTCATTGGAAAGTGATGGGAGCCTTTCTCCTGCCTACTTCACCATGAGGAAGGAAGATCTAAATGAAAAAAAACAAATGAACAAAAACCAAAAAAGTTTTCTAGTTTTTCTAGCAACTTTTTTCATGTATTTGATCAAGGGCCTGATTTTGTTTAAGACTTGTTTGTTCTCTTTTGTAAAATGAGGATAGGAGGTATCGCTTTTTTAGCTTCATACATGGGATTTTTCTTATCTAGCCCTTGTTGTCAATAAAACCCTAAAAGACTAAAAAGCTGAATATTTTTGTCCAAGTTAACCTCTTCCTAGAGAGCAAAGAGAGATGAGCAGCTACATCCCATCCCACTGATGTCATTTGAATGTGCCCAGCTCCTTTAATGGTACAAGGAGACTGATGCTCTCAGTTAATGCCTTATGCCTACACAGGGGACTGTAAGCACAGACTCTCTGTACAACACGTTGCATGTTGGGGCTCCAACTCTGTTTTTATTTGTACTGGGAAATACATACTGGAAGCAGTGGTATGATGGAAGGGGTAGAAAACCCCATCTGAGTAGCTCCTAAGGCTCCTATCATCCAGGGATCAGTAAGAAGGAATCACTTGCTGTGTGGTGCCCTGATTAGAAAATCAATTCAAATATTCACCTATATAATTTGCAGACACTTGGACAAAAGGTTAATAAAAAGTATTTCTGGCATCAGACTTGATCTGAAATAATTTTTTTGAGCCAGTTTTACTCTGCCTCATTTTGCAGGTAATTCACACCTCTTTGTGCATGTGCAATATGTCATTTCCACTGAGCCCAGACCCATTTGCATTTCTGTGCAGAAATCCTATCAAACACATGGTTTGGCACCAGGCATACTGAGAGCATGGGTTGGTACCTGAGTGGAGTTCATACCTTGCAGTTTATTCAACTGGAGCTGAATGGACCTGCTGTTTCCAGCAGACTGCTTTTCTAAAGAGTTCACTTGTCTCAGAGTAGCAGTGAAAGAGTAGAAAAGTTCAAGCCCTCAGCCTTGCTAAGAATTAGGCCATAAAGTCACCACCAGCAGTTTGATTGTCCTGAAATGCTGGGTTACACTGTGGGCCTGCAGAACTCCAAACACCCAGTGCTCCATGCCCTGGGGTCTCACCCACCTCAGTGTGGCTGCAATATTGAATCAGTTTCTGTTGGCCTGAGAATGTTTCTGATTGTGAGAGCAGAAATCTTAAAAACAAAATAAAAGCCCTCAAAACCCAAGCAGGGATTTTCTTCTCTCTTGTGCATATGTATTATTTCTGGCTACCATGTCATTTTTCCTCTGCTATTTGGCTTTGTAGAGTTGATAGTATCACTCTGGTCAAACCAACTACATTTCCAGACCTGGGCTGCACAGCCCATTGCCGAGGTGAATGGAGAAGTTTTTAACAAATAACCTCATAAAACTGCTACACTTTTGCTCAGCGAGAAAAAGTTCTTAGTGCGGTATCCCAGTTCTTGGTGCTCCTCAAACCAACTGGAATTTGCCCACCTTGTCATGAGGTGGGCTTTTTTTCTCTTGTCATATGTTCTATGCTGTTTGCCACACGAGTTACAGATGGTAATTTTAATTCGAAAACACAAATGTAATAAATTCAGCAGATTAGTATTTGGCTGGGATTGAGGGCTGAGATTGTTCAATTGACTGTTATGGAAAACACATCAGCCAACTTCATCCCTGACCAGAGAGCAGTGGTTCCATCCCCTTACAAACAAAGCCTTTGTTTTGTCTTCCTTGCTCTGTGATTCTGGCCTCTACTGTGCATTTGTTTCCAAAGCAAAACAAAGAATTCATAATCTTTGGCAGTTAAAATATTTCAACTTGGATTTTCCTGTTACACAACTTACCTACTAGCTGATGGAGTAGAAGATGATCTCACTGCTCAGGAGCAGTATTTTTTCAGATGCCTTCAGCCCTGTTTGTTTCTAGTCCAACTTTAACCAGGAGTCAACCATGAGGCAGAGTCTAAGGATCAGGGTGCTAGTGCTGCTGCCCCACATTCCATGCTGCAGAAAGGCTCAAGCCTGTCCATTTGATATGGTTTATGAAATGAACACACGCATTATTTGTATTGCCTGTGATGAATTGTAGAGTGTTATGGATAATCATTGTGTGCCATACAGCCCTTGGCTCTTTTACCTGCATTCTGCCTATTGCTTCCCTCTGATTAGTTATAATATGTCTAGACTTCTATCAGATGTAATGCAAATTATCATAATGGCAACAAAGATTTCATTTTTCCTCCAAATGTGCTCCAAACTGACCCTGGCTTGGAGTGCCAACAGCTTCCTGCAGTGCATACAGTCTTGTCATGTTAGAGGGTATATTCTAAGGACAGATTTGAGCTAGGAACAGATTTGAACTTCTAGGTGTAACTGCCATGAAACTCAATTTTCCACTGAGTCATGTGATATCTCTTCCTTACTATTTTGGCCGTTCTGTTCAGACAGGTTTTAAGTGTTTCATTTTTTATTCTGAGACACTGAAAACATGAGCCAAAGAAGTGTAGCAGAGGAAAGCAGAAGAAGAACACATAAAAGGATGTAAGGTACTGGACTGTTCTCTATTTTTGTTTTGGTTTGATTCTTTATCAGTGTAAACTGCATGACCACTGAGCATGATGAGGTCTTGAAAAAAGCAAATTAATTTAGAAAATGGGTAGACTACCTGAGTAAGGACAGCACCAGTATTAGGTCTGAAAGACAAGCAATGAATGACTCCTATTTTTTGGATGAATATTTCTAGGATTAACATATAAAGTTGAAAGTTGAACAAGAGAGAGGAATGAAAATGGAAAAAAATTACATTTCTTTACAGGTCTTCTGCCAGCCATTTGATTTTTGTGAGTGTGCATTTTTTGACATTTAGTAACAATAATTTGATTTATTTTTAGTGTTTGAGGCCCTTGGCCAAGACTGGGGATTTGTTATACATTGCATGTGTTGTCCATGTAGGGATAGCTCTGCTCATAGGACTTGCAAGGTGCAGGAACAGAAATAATGACTCACAGAGGTGCTGGTTGTTTCCATGGGGTGATGGAAAAGGCCAAGCAGGTCACTGGCATAGCCAAGAATAAAGACCAAGTGTGCTGACTCCTGATCTTGTGTCCTGCTTACTAAACTTTGCCTCCTGTAGCAGAAGAATGGCAGCCAAAATGCTGCAATTGTCTGGGGCGGGAACAGGGTTGAGAAAGACTCTGAGAAAAAAACATGTTCAGCTTTTTATGTATTTGTAATTTTCTGGATTTGTCACTAGCAGCGACAAAACTGCCAGCACAGTTTCTGTCTGTTGAGTTTTGCACCTAACAAATTTGTTACTGGGTCTTGACTGCTCACACTCCCTCTGTTTTAACATTTCGCTCTGCATGGTGTCTGTACAGCCAGATATTTTACTGGACTGTTTTATAACTTTCCAGTAATGTATAGTATTAATCATCCAGTAGCAATATATGAAATCAGGCATCTTTAAGTGCTCAAGGGATATAAACTTGAAGCTTGTCAAACCATCTTTTGAGGAAGAGTTGGACAAATGTTGTGCCCTTTTTCCTGAAGCATTTACATGCTGGCGCACAACACGTACAGTAGTTGCCATAAGCTTTTATTGGGGCTGTTTTTCCATTTCTGAGAGGGAACTGTGCTGCAGTATCTGCAGCACTCGTTGTATTCCCCATAGGAAATGAATAAAGCACACTGAGCACACAAGAAGAAAGCAGAGCCTGCCAGCCCCAAGGATGTATCTGATAAGTGCTGCATGGCTGAGGATCTGCATGCCCTGAACATGACTGGAGAGCTGGGCTCAGAGTCATTCTTGTGAACAGTGTGTTGATTTAACCACTGCCATTTACCACTGAGACCTGGATTTATGTGTTTATAGTCATTTCTATATCAATACGTCAGTGTTTACTGCAGATCAGTTCACTCTAAAGAGGACGGGAATGATCAAATTTCCTCATTACTGAAGAGTGAATAGGAGCCACAGAAAGACTTCATGATTTGTTCACCTAGCCAGCCAAGATGGAATAAGGGATTCCCAATTCCCAGTTTGTTGTTCTAGTGACTGGTGGAGTCTGTTTCCATTCCCAAGCAGTAATGTCTATCCTAAACCCATTAAGAACACTCCTTCCTATTCCATATTCCAAACTAGAACAAACTGTACTGATCTGACCCCAGCTGTGAAGCTATAAATTTAATTTACAAGGTCATTTATATGGGAGGAGAAGTAGTGTCAAAATACAAGAATCTATGCAAGTAGAAAACAGAAAAAGCATGGATAACATAACCCCTATAAAATGTCTCCACATGTGATTTGTGTGGAAACAGTTGCTCTGAGATCAGAAGGAAATCTGTTGCTTTTGGCAAAACGGGTAATTCTACAGCTCAGGAGTTACTAGGGCCTCTGTGTGATACTTTCTGAGCTATGGACTTATCTTAAAGACTTCCTGTTTTGGAGCTCTCGGGCCTGCCAAGATGTTTGTCTTAGCATGATTCAGTTTTGTTATTAGAATGATATCAAGATTTACATTGAGCTGGTAAAAGATTAAAAGAACTGCAGCAAGCATAAAGATGAACATAGTCTGGAATTGAAGGTAGAAGATTCAAGAAGAAAATTTCAGGCTGGATATTGATTTAGCAGTGTTTTAGGCAGTCTGTGCTTTCTGTAAGTCCATCAGTCCAGCAAGCCTGTCTTCAGTGTAACACTTGTAGCTCTAAAAACCCTTTCCTTCCACTGCCAGCTCACTGTTGTGCAGTGTGGATAGGAGATAGAAATAGCCAAGTTAAATTGATTTAATTTTAATGTCTTTACAGAAGTAACTATAGGATATGGTCTCTAGAACTGTTCTGTGCTAGGTGCTGACCCAGTTCCTATGCAAACAGGGTGACATTTGGTCTGTTCTTTAGTAACTTCTCTAAGTGATGCTGATCAAAATAGGGAGCAACCATCTCTGGTTTAAGCTGTGGACAGGGCCCATTTTGAAGCCAATAAAGGCAATTACAGCTGCATTACTGTGGAGCTGGGAAGAGACAGCTGAAAAATAAACTATTATTTGGCAAAAGGACCTGAACATACAGGGTATTCCATGGGCATTAACGGGTCTGACCATTACAGATACTACAAGTTTCTTTGGGAAACACTACAAGTTTCTTTGGAAAACTCATGACCCTTATACTGTAATGACCTCATCCTCTCAAGGCTCCAACCCTGCCAAAACCCAACCTATCTCATACTAAATAGCAACAAAAAAGTATGAAGTCAGTTTATCTTAAAATCACAAATCAATGCACTTGGGGTAAAAATTCTATCAAAGCAGAGTTGATAACTCCCAAAAGACAGGGCGGATAGAAACCTGTCTTGCTTGGGCACTGTGAGTGCTCTCAGTTTTGGTCAATTTGATTTATCAGGTGATATTACTCAGGTGCTACCAAAATGTGGTAACATAATTACAACATTAAACAATAACAATAAATTGACCAGGAAAATAACATTTAAATGCACAGCAGAAACAGCTACTTTTCCAGCAGTGCTTGAGGTGTTGGGCAATACTTTCTCCACAGATTCAGTGTGCTTTCTCTCATAACATGTTGAGGATATGGATTCAGGAGTGGAGCTCTCATCTGAGGTTCAGCTCTAAAGAAAATACTAGCAAGCCTGTGAGAGAATGTAGATAGAAAGTACTCCCAGACTATTCAGAACTGCTGCTTTTCTAATCTTTTCTAGCTAGGATATATGAGGAGGGAAACTTTGGTTCTGATGAGATTAGTGGGATTTTTTCTTTTCTCTTCCAAGGGGCCAGGATTTTACCCACACCTCAGGAGCCTGTGAGTCTGAAGAAGAAGGTAAAGTACCTCTTGTCCAACTGTGTAGGCAATCACTGGGCTAAGCTGTGTGATCTGGGCATAATTCAGTATTTCTTCTCCAGCCACTGGAAAGGTGAGGGAGCTTTTGGAAAGTGGATTCTGACTTAAATGTCAGAACTAAAAAATAAAAAAGTGTGACTGGATAAATGAACGGAATGAGATGATGGATTAACTCATACATTTGCAGTTACTCACCTGGTCTCCTCCACAGTATAAAGTCACCTTCTTCCTTTCAGTGACAGGTTTTGTTGTCACTTGTAGTTAATATTGTAATTAAATAAACATAGATTTGGCATGAAATTTATACTGGCCTCTCTCACATTCACAGAGCAAGGAAAGAGGCACCTACTGACCTGGCTCCATGACACGTGGGACCATCAGTCAAAAGTTTTGCTCTACAGAACAGTTGTTTAGATAGCAATTCACAAGATTTACAGAGGAGATAAATTATACTGGACTCCAAACCACACCATATCCCTTGCTTGTCTTAAGGTTAAAAGGGGAAAAAAACATTTATGAATGGATAGAGGACAGGATGGGAGCTGAGCTCTCTCTCCCGCTCCTTCGACATACTTGTATGTATAACTGGTTTTTATATATATATATATATATATATATATATATATATATATATATATATATTAATTTTAGCATTTAAATATACAGGGAATAGAGACTAATAGAGGCTGAATCAGCTGCTGAATTTGATGGAAGCATGGGCACTTAGAAAGGTGCTGATTTAACAGCTCTTGAACTCTGTAGAAACTCTTCAGGAGATGTTGAAGCCTCTCTGGAAAAAAGCACTTCATTTTTGTTGGTTTTGGGAGAAGAGAGCCTCAGTGGCAGCAAACATCCTGTAACAGAGTGGATTTTTTTTATTGTGTTAAAAAAAAAAGAAAAGAAAAATCTCTGTTTTGAGCTGTTATTAATTGTCACTGCAATTGAAAGGTCAAACCTGATGTTCTTGCTCAAGCAAAATGCTTTGGAAAGCAAATGGAGTTTTGCCTGAGAAAATACTGGATAGAAATATGCACAAATGTCAGCACTGGGACTGGATTTGAAGTGGATTCAGACATTAGTTAAGAGAGTTCCAGAATAAGCTCTAAATGTTGAAAGTGCTATCTTTAAAGGGTACTTCTACATCAGAAATACGGGGTGATACTCTCAATTTATAAACTCTTGGGAGAAGGAGGAAGTGGCTGTCATTTATGGCTCTGTACCCTTAGTCCTAGGGGTGTCAGCTCCCAAGTGTCATTAAATAAGTCTAAGGTCAGGCTAAATGCTGCTCCTAAAAGTTCCAGCTGGTTGTCCACATCCTGTCTCTCCTGAGCAGATGATATCAGGATGACTTTCAATCCAGGCCTGTTCAGAATGTCTTGGCATCCATTTTCTCAAGAATGTGCATGAACCAGCAAGAGTATTCACAGTGTAACAATTATCCATGGTGCAGCAACCAGAAAGGTGCTGGAAGAAGTGGGCTTTCATTTGTTTAGCAGCTGCAGAGGCAGCTCTACTGCTTGTCTCTTTCCAGCCTGAACTTACTGTCTGTTGCGGAAGATAGATAAATATGATTATTCATAAATAATAAAGCAGGATGAGAACAATTCTCCCAGCTAGCCGGATGACACCCCTGCCTTTGGATGGGTCCTGGGATGAAATGGACTGTTCCATCTCACCCTCCAAATGATGTATGGTTCACCCCGCACCTCTATCCCTCCCCTGAAACATCAAGTGTCTGTAACCCCATTGGCCCATGCTTTGTTCCAGCCCACCTTGAAGCCCCTTTATAAGGAGGCTTCGAGGGGCCACACAGTCTCTTGGAACTTTCTCCCCTCCTGGAACTTCCTCCCTCCTCTTGGAGCTTCCCATCTCCTGGAGCATCCTTTTGTCTCTCCCCTTCCCCACCCTCTCAGGCCTGGCCACGTGCCGCGTCTGGGAGCACGAGGCAGAACCCTCTGCACCCCCAATAAACCTGATCCCCCAAGAGCAACCTTCAGAGATCTCTGCCTCCTTTCATCTACACTGTGCTGGAGCCTGCTATTTTTTACAACTGTCCACACCAAGCATCTGTCCTGCTCTCTGATCTTTCCTGTAGCACTTACTCTGTAACATTCACAAGATCATTTTCTGTGTGGCTTTTCAAGCACTGACTGAAACATTTCTTATTTCTGTGTCAAGTTCCTAATTTGACCTTTGCAGATCTCGTCAGAGTAACCAATCATGAGATAGAAAATGTAATGACTAATTTTTGTGAGCAACTTGCACAATGCAGCATCCTAAATTAAATAAGGAAATGTCAACAGCAAACTTCTTGTAAGTTATTCTGAGAGGGAAATGAAAAACAAGTTCAAAATTCCTTTCAAATAAATCTGAAAACATCTCGAGCTACTCACAAGCAAAAGAAAAGAGATGGAGGTTTCCCAAGAAATTTATCATAGTGTACAACTCCATTCCTGTCCAAAAGGTTTGGAAAATGAACCAAAGTGTTGGAAAAATGTGTGTACATCTGCCTTGAGATATAAAGAAGACGGAATCAAATGTTTGTAGGTTTCATATTACTCTGATATTGATGAACGAGACCTTTTTAGTGGTATTTTATCTGCTCAGTTATGGTATGGTGGATGGAGCTGAAGAATATTGAGGTGTTCTTAACTCTTAAAGTAAGAATAATGTTGATAATATTAAAGGCTGGAAAGTCTGAACCAGATCTAAGCTATCCTTGTGGTAAAGCTTGGAACAATCTCTGTGTAGAGACTATTTCCATACCCTATTTAAAAAGCAAGAGAAACTAGAGTAAATAAGTAATACTCCTTTGCATCAAAAGATGAAAAAATCCAGGCTCTTCATTTTGAGAAGAGCCTTGTTCATTGTTTACAGTTTTGTCACAGTCTAAAGATTGTGCCTGTGGAGTTTGCTCTGCTCTGACAGAGGAAGGTGTAACAGGAGCCAACAAACAGAAGAAGGAGGATCCGTTCAAACCAGGAGTAAGGCTGCATTTTGAACAATGAGCTTATTTAACCAGGGTGGAAAAAATTACCCAGGAGCACTGTGGATCTCCATCACTGGAAGTCTTTAAATCAAGAATGGATGTCTTTCTGATGACCATGCTTGTTGCTACAGCAGGAGTTATAGGCTTTGAAATTCCATGGCTCGTGTCATCCAGGAAGCTGGGGTAGATGATTGCATTTGGTCTCCAGTGGCTTTCCAGTCCCTGTGAAGCATTCAGCTGGATTGCTGCTTGCAGCATGTCTGGAAGAGGAAAAGTAACATTTCTCATAGCTGGACAATAGATGACAAGTGGTTTCCACTGGAGTTATAGATCACGGTTTTTTTAGTTTTCCAGGCAATGCACTAATTTTTCAGGGAATAAAGAAACTGCCAAAGGACATTTTGGTTATTTAAAATTTCATTACAGCATCCTTTCCACTCCTCTCCCTTGTCCTCCCCTACAATCAGTGTAGAGGTGAACAATGCATAGAAGTGGGTTACTGGTCCAAATATGGAAACACTGACCCTGAATAACTGTGTTTGCATTGAGCATCCTATAAATAACATTAATTAAGTTGACTGAATTTCTCTGAAATGACTTTTAAAAGAAAACATATTTCAGCAATTAAAAAAAAAAATCTATTCATTTGCAAATGGCATAGATCTATTGAGGCTGGCCATAGTGTTTATGAATTACCACAGACACCTGAGGAACAGGATCTATGCTTCCAAACTTCATTGTCAGAATCAGTCAATTCCTACAGAACTCCTGATCTGATATATAAGATAATGGTAAATATTATGTATGCAAAAGAGAAGAAACAAACAGACATTCCTTGGTGGTGTTCTTCTGCAAATAGGCCAGCATTGCGCACACACTTGCAGCAGCCCGTAGCCAGTTAATTTAAACCACAGAATATCTGCAAATATTTACCTGATGGCTGGGGGTTGAAAAAGCTGTAACATAAATAGCTTCCTACATAAAATAGATTTGATTTACATTTCAGCAGATGTGTTGGTGAGAGTAAATGATGGGGAAAGAAAAGGAAGAGGAAAAAGCAAAAATGAAAACAAATAGATTATGTTTCCAAAATCCTACCAAGTATGTGATGCACTGAAATGATCAGACTCTTAACTGCTCGTAAATCTGCCTGGACTGGGGTTGTGAAATTATTTTTAGGGTGATGGCAGAAGCCTTTCTAATGCTACCTTTGTGGCACTGTGTCAGCTGAGTAAGAAGCAGCAAGAATGGCATAAAAGTCAAGTGGGCAATCTGAGAAGGAGGCAGTTTAGCAGTACAAAAATTTCTGTCCAAGTAGAGGAAGTATCCTGATGTAATTGTATTTATAACCTGTGAGCTTCTGAAGTCCTAGGGAGAGTACATCTGAGGACAGTGCTGTGGCTGTACATGGCCTAACCAGGAGCTATTTAATTTTTGAGGAAGAGCATCAAGAATTCTTGCTCAGCTGCTTAATAGAATGTGTCAGAGCTCTGCTGTCCTCTGTGGAAGTGGTCCTTTCCCAGCACAACAGTTCTGCATCCAGTCCAGCCAACCTCAAATATCCCCCCGAGTCATATCTTATACTTCCATAAATCTTAAACTTGGTTTCAAATGAAAGAGCTTCAAATAAATTTCTTTCAGTTCTTTTTGTTTCCTGTTTGGTTTGGAAGTTGGGAATTGGTAGGGAATAAGGTTTTTGTAGTTATGGAAGCATGCTTTCTCCTGTTGGACATTTGGCACTCCTTATGCATCAACCCAAGCCATGATGGCAGCAAGGAGGAACTTGGAAGAGGAACAAAGCAGAAGAAGATACCATTGTGGAGGAGTTCTGCAGATTGGAAGAGTTGCACAGACAGATTGTTGGTACATACTAGGATCTGAGGTTGGGGTTTTTTAAGGCACTGAGTGAAAAAGTGGGAGACTGCAGAAGTCCAGCAGAGCATTTCTGCTGACATCCTCAGCTGGGGAAGCGTTAGCAATGTTGACACAGACTGTCAACTTCTGGTTTCAGATTCACTCCTCCAGGATGAGAGACAGAAGTTCACATCCCTCAGACATTGTTTCAAGCTGTCTACAGGCTAGTGAAGATAACAGTGCATCAGCTTACATTTTTATGGGTTTGCTTGTAATTACAGGAAAGGAAAATTGAAGTTTTGAGTGTTGATTTCAGTGGGAGCAGAAATGCAGAGGCACTTCTGAAATCTTGTCTGCAGTTTATTTTGAAAATGGAACTGTAAGCTTTTTAATCTCACTTCTGTGAAAAATGTCAAAGATGGAAAAAATATTAAGTCCTGTATGTGTGCAGAAATAGATGTGACACTTCTACCTGATTAATTCTAAAGAAAAGCAGCACGGCTT